AGATGGGGGCGTGTAGGGGGGAGGGGGGGGGGAGGTGTGCAGGTAGGAGCGCCTATCTCGAGAGTGCAAAAAAATACGGCTGGCGATCGTTGTCGGAGGCGTGAGTTTGGTAATCGCGTGACTTACCGCGAGCAAAAGCAAAATTAGCAATTTGATTGAATGGGGGTGTCGTTGGGCAATCCAGTCTGGCGTTTCATTTATCTAATTAACGTTCGATAGCGGTTGGATTGACATTGGTAATCGAACGATCAGTACGATGCCGTTTGATGCGCAACTATGGGTCGCTGTCATTCACCTTTATGAATTTGTCCTGATTAGCGCGATTGCACGAATGCCAGACTCTGGCTGTAATTAAACGAAATGGGGGTAAGATGGTGCTATTTTTATACGTTCGATAGTCCTAATTCCTTTACTTGGCTCTTCTTACATTGGCACTCAGAATCTTAATTTCATTGCAGTCTCCTTCTTTTTTTTTGTTCCTTTTAAGATCGGAGACGCCGATAAAGAGCGTAATTGCTCACTTGCTCTCTCTCTCTCTCTCTCTCTCTCTCTCTCTCTCTCTCGGATGTCATTAGCATTGGGAAGATATAGTTTGTACTTGAAGGCTGATGTAAAGTAATATTGTGGCCAAGAATTTTCGATCCCGAGGTATTTATTTTATTTGAATTATCTATCGGTCATACTAGAGCCGATGAAGTTATTAATTATGTGGCTCGAACAACTTTTATTTTTTTACAGGAGATATATAAACGATGCGATTATGTTTTTTTTGTTTTTTTTTTTGTATCGATTATTTTCTTACTGTGTCTATTGAAGCGTAACTGACCAAAACGTGTTCATGACTGAAATGCCCGCAGACTTTACAAAATCCTTCTCTGTTAAGTTTTGCTTCCCTCGTTGTTCGTCTCGCGGAACGAGCGATGATCGAAGTCTGTTGTCGAAAGTTTGGAATTCGGAGCCAACGCCTGAAAATCACGTTTCAATGGCCTAACTTTATTAAACGTAAAACAAGCTTGAATTGAATTTCTGTTCACTTTCTCTATGTCCGTCATATGTTGCGGTGCGCGTGCCCGTGCGTGCGTGCGTGCGTGCATACAGCACCTCCGGCTTTACTGAGACGGTAAAAATTAGATAAAACAATATCGGCTCTGATAATCGGCAAAAGTTATAAGAATATTTCGTTGGTACGAATTGACACGACTTCAAGATGAAATCATGTAAATTACCAACAATTGACAATCATCAAAGTAATTAATTAGACCAAATTAATAAAACTCTATAAGCTAAATAAAGATCATCTAACAATCTGCTTTATACAAACAAAGCGATTAAGCTCCGTTTTTTTTTTCCATTTGCAGTCGCATCAGGAGGAGGACCTCTCGGATCCCGATCGCCAGGATGAGGAGAGCGGGGAGGAACTGCCACAGCAGCCACTACAAGGCACCAATCGCTCCTCGGCAGATAGTACACCCGTGCCGACGCCACTCACACACCTTAACAGCCTCATGAGCTCCACTCATCCACACTTTTTAGCCAAGATCAAACTCGAGGTTCGTAATTAATAATTAATACTTTCGTCTAATGGAATTACCTCGTTCGTGATCACGTGATCGTTTCAATTGCCGGCATGAGAAATGGGTGATTGGGAATTTTCAGGGAAACTTTTTATGCAACGAGTAGTCGGAAACGGTGTATCGTCTGGCACAGGAGGGAGGATTTACCAAAGGAGGATTTACCAAAGTTGGCAAATATGCGGAAAAGTTCGCATCTCGTGAATGTTTGTCCAGGCATGATTGAAGTTGAATGCAATTTAATTTGAAGGTACCACGTTTCTCGCACCCCCCCCTCCCCCTCCC